CGCTCTGCAAGCCTTCTGCTTGTCTGTCTGTCCTACATAGTGGGTGTTACAGTCCATACACTGCATGTTGTAGATGACTCCTGTTTTTCTTCTTTGGAGGGCTTTAGCTGGTTTGTGTGCTATGGAGATGCCATGTGGTTGTAATAGTCTGTTGGTAGTTTCTGAGATGTTTCTGATGTATGGCAGTGTGATCCTTTTCATAGCTTGTGTTGGTTGTGTTGCAGTAGGTTGAGTGGTCAGCTCAATAAAGTTGCGTGGATATCCGTTTTGTTGGAAAAAGTTGTATAGGTGGTCTTTTTCCTTTTTCTGCTGTTCTGGATTGCTGCAGTGCATTTGTGCTCACTTGAATGATGTTCTTACACAGCTCCTCTTGTGGGAGGCTGGGTTGTTACTTTGGTAATGGAGTACTTGGTTAGTGTGGGTTGTCTTCCAATAAACTTGGGTTTCTAATTTGCTGTTGTTTCCTTTGCTGATGAGGATCTCCAGGAAGGGGAGCGTGTTGTTGTTTTCTTCCTCTCTGGTGAATTTTATTCCTTTGAAGATGTTGTTGATGGTTTCATGTGTCTTCTCTAGTTGTTCCTTTTTAATTATGACAAACATACCGGATCCATACTTTGGGTTGTTCTGTGTGGCAGTGGTCAGCTTCTTAGGCCAAGCTAAATCCAAAAACACTAGGGAATTCCTGGAAGCCTGGTATTCAGACAAGGCAGCCATCAACAGGCACGTAGAGATAAACAACATCTACACACTATTCAAGAGAGACAAAAGAAAGGAAAAGAAAAGACCAGAACATCTTCTCACCAGCAATCATCACCCAGATAAGCAGAGATTACCACCATACTTTGGGTTGTTCTGTGTGGCAGTGGTCAGCTTCTTAGGCCAAGCTAAATCCAAAAACACTAGGGAATTCCTGGAAGCCTGGTATTCAGACAAGGCAGCCATCAACAGGCACGTAGAGATAAACAACATCTACACACTATTCAAGAGAGACAAAAGAAAGGAAAAGAAAAGACCAGAACATCTTCTCACCAGCAATCATCACCCAGATAAGCAGAGATTACCACCAGACATACAATCAAGCAGTAAACAATACCCTAATCAAGGAACTACCAGAGGAAAAAAATAAAACAAAACAAAACCCCCACCCCCACCCCCGCCAGCACTGGCAGGGCATGCCACT